GGAGCAGCGATTCCCCTGCGGCCTGTGGTGAAGGCCATGGTGAGGCAGGCTGTCCCCCTGCAGATAGCTAGCTGGACAATGACCGTATCAAGTGCAAAAGAAAACAATAGAAGCACTAAAAGTAACACAACTAGGAGGCTGCCAGAGATTTTAAGACAGGGGATAAGCAAACGGTGTAGGTAACAGTAATTTTTATTTCATACTTAAGACTGAAATATTGTTAAGTACAGAGGAGATCAAGTATGCCTGTGAGCTGAGTACCTGACAGGGACAATGTCAGTGATCTAATTGCACGTGAGAAAGGAAATAATTTCTCATGTCTCTCTTTAGGTAAGAATTTTCAGACATCACTGCTATTCAGGTTCATTCTTTTATCACATGAAGAGCCCAAACGCTTTTCTGCCGAAGCCCAAAACCCTGAGCAATTCATCTGTCTTGCCCCAATGTGATATACTTTCTCACCCAAACCATACAAATACACCCTCCTCATTCCAAATACAAAGTATCAAATGTTAAAAGCTGACTCCTAAAATAAATAAATAAATAAATATTAAAGGCTTCAAACTTTTGCAAAACCCATGAAGCACCCAGCTGCTGAGCTATACATCTAAGAACTTGGTGGGCACGTTGGTGGATATCCAAACACGAAAATGAAAAACCTGGGGAGCTGGAGGGAAGACACAGGTGGAGGACAAAAATAAGGCTAACGCATTTCAAATGGGAAGAAAGGAAGATGAATACTTCTGCTTTTTATACAGACATAAAACCACAGTTCATAGAGGGTTACAATACGCATCTTTATCACGGCCAAACAAAAATTCAATCTACTTCAGCAGCACAAAAAGCAGGCAATTCAAAAATTCTTCTAATTAAGGACATAAAAGGCAGGTCATTTTGAGCTGTTTAACAAGAATTTCTGAAACTTAGCCAGTGCTAAGTGATAATATTCTGTAAATGTTGGCAGAAACGTGTCTTTGGAGACTCCAAAATTTTATGATCAGAAAGATCTGAGCGTAGCAGCCATGAGTATTTTAATAGAGTAAGTCTGTACCTCCCCGCCAAGACTTAAGTCTGGTGAGATGCAAGTGAAACTCCAAGTCAGCCAGTCTGTTGTGATATGGCTCAGCTGGCATCAGCTGTAGCTCTTGACATAGAGGAGTTCTCTAGCTCTCTCCCTTTAAAGTTTAGAAAGACACAACCCTGGAGACGAAGACAAAGCTTTTAATCTTGTTCTCAACATGACTTACTCTCATCTTGGACACATCGTTTCATTTCCTTCTGCCTTATTCTACTCGCTGTAAAAAGAAGGAACCACCAGCAAATTTGCAAACGCTCCAGGGACAGTTTAAAGCCCTTTCTGTATTCCTCTAACCTTCGTATCAGCCCAATTTCCATGCTGCCTGCAATTGCTTCAAAGCTTTTCTAACCCACCAGCTACACTTGGAATGCTCCAAATGCAGGCGACCATGATGCAGGGGCACCCCAACAGCTTCTCAAGTCACACTCTCACTGGCCTGCTGCCCTTGCAACACTGGTATGAGGCTGGCACAAGCACCCACATACCAGCTCTGTGCCACACGGGAGAGAATGTCAGGGAAAATGGGTTCAAGGCGAGATGACACCACTGCCAGAGATTTGGGCTGTATGGTCCCTACCCAAAAGCTCCACCGAGGAGCAGACGTCGGCTGTTTCAGCAGCCACCAGCCCTCTCCTCCCCTTTACAGAGTTGCCTACAGGCCTTTTTTCCTCACCTTGCAGCAGGTACTGGCTGGGTCCTGATGCCAACTATACAGGCTCAAACTAGTCAGCAAGACTAGCGGCAAATGCTTTTAGACACTTACCATTGTCCTCTGCATAACCCTCCAGGGCTGAAATTTATGTGTGACTCTAGCAGTCACAGAAAATATTTCATTTTAGTCAGCAGCATACATAAAGGTATTACTTCCTCTGAAGTTGCTAATGAAGCTGCAAATCCTCCTAATATCGACACATATATATGTAATCCTCTTATTAAGTTTAGCCTGATTAATCTGGTCCTCTGAACAATATTCTAAAAATAACAAATGGATTTTGTGCGTGTTTCTGCACTGTCTGATCTTTTCTGTTTCATCAATTATCGATCAAAACTCAACTTCAGAGCCATAACATATTTATGTCACAATTGTCACTTACCATTTGTTACCAGTTCCTTCACGTGCTGCAATATTTTTTTTTTAAACATTAACAGATAAGAATCTTTTTTACAGTATTATTATTCTTGCATGTGTATGTAAGGTAAAACTGTTGTAGATTTTTGTCATTAACTCTGATGCCAGGAGTCAGTATTTTATAGGCATCATACTAATGCAAAACGCATTAGCACTAACATGGGCTACACTCCTGACAAAGCGCTTACTCCACTTCAGCCTGCTTGACTGAGTTCTCACCTTCATTTGTTTTTGTTTCTCTGTCTACTTAATGCGTTTTCAGCTATCATCATCTCAGTTCAAGTAGGATGTTTATTATTTGGAGCTCTCTGTGGACTGTTTTAAGAGTTAGTCATCTCCTGTTTCTATTATATACTCCATTTAATTAAAGTATAAAGCATCCTTCTTTGTTGATTCACCAATGACAAAGTAGCTCATCTTTTAGAGATTGACTGAAGAATACAGAACGCTTTGCATATGTTAGAAAAAGATATTTCACCTCAAGAGAAAATTTATTTTTGTTGATGTTGGAAGATATTCCAGGGCCAGTTCCAACAACAGCCTGAAGAGAGGTGACTGACAATAACTACAGCTTAGTGCAGATGCTCCAACACTCCAAAACTTCCTAAAACCGTAATACAGTTTAAGACTAGATAATATTTACAACTTACGCATTAAGCAGTAACAAAAAATTATAGAGCTCTTTCTGTTGCTTCCAAAGGAGCCACACTCTCACTAGTAAGGCTGATAAAATAGAGCACTGACGTAATATTTGAAGATCATAATTCAAGAACGGTTAGGGCACGGCTAACTT